CCTTTAGATAAGATTGGCATCTGATGTTCATTTTCCCACTTCTATACTGGGTTACTATTTGGGAGTCTCTTTGGTAACCCTGGCCAACAACTCAAAAGAAGCTCTCTCCTATCTGGCATTGTTGCTAATTATGTAACTTTAGCTATGCATAGGACTCTTAAGAAATTATATTGACCCCTTTAATCTTTGGTTATACTTTCCTTTTGGGTGTGTAAAGCCATACAGTTGGCCCAGATAAACCAATTTATTTTTACTCTTAAGGTCGTTTGAGGATCTGTTCCTCAGGGGTCACATGGGCTTGGGAGGAGCTCCTGGCTCCTTTCTTTTACCAGTTCCATCTATGTGAAGATAAGTCAAAGGTCCTGCTCGACCATGGTTGGCTTCACTTGGGAGCATGGAGGAAATAATTCCTCTGTGCTGACCCTCCTCTTTGTAAACTGGACACTGGTTCAGGTCCATCTGGTGGGGTCTCCTCAGCCTCCTTGATCAAAGGACAGGTGACCCACCACAATTACAGGACATTTTAAGAGATGCTCAAAGGCCCCTGGAACTAGTCGACCTAGGAGGTCAAGGAGCCAAAACTGTCCTTTATGTCCCTCTGACCAAATTATTATAGGCCTCAAAGTATGTCTGTTAAACATCCAAGAAGGTTAGTTCCACCAGTCTGGTGCTTTTAATTACTGTGTGTCATGTAGATAAATCTTGGGCAAAGACCAATTGTTCTCAGATAAACCTTACCTAGACATATGTTTCTTGATCTGCTATGTATAATTTGTCAATAGGTTATAGGAGTAACATGGTTCCCTCTGGCTTTCAAAACGAGCTAGGCATTATTTATCTCTCTCATTGTCTCACCTCTCTATCATGGTTTTCCCACTTAAGGTGCCCCCATTTCCCCCCTTTCTCCCTTAATAATACCCTTCTCCTATGGTCCTACCTCTCTTGAGCTCCTTCTTTCCCTTTATCCATTAGGTTCCTTGTATACCCTTCCCACCCCACTCCCTTAAACTAACCCAAATTTTATCCATATCTCCCTTATTAAGGCCTGTTTCCTACTGTTCTTCTCTTTCAGGTTCTTTCTTTTCCTTTACCTCCCTGTTTCCTTTCTATTATCCTGGTTCCTGTACTTATGTGTGGATACATACTCACTTATGTAGTTCTAAGATCCACATATGAGGGAGAACATATGTCGATTTTTTTTTCTGAGTCTGTGTTACTTCGCTTAGTATAACAGTTTCTAGTTCCATCAATTTACCTGCAAATTTCATGATTTCATCTTTCTTTACTGCTGAATAAAACTCCATCATATAAATGAACCACATTTTCATTATCCATTCGTCAATTGAAGGATACTTAGATTGTGTCCATCTCTTAGCTATTGTGAAAAGAGCAGCATCAAACATGGATGTACAAGTGTCCCAGAGGTTTTGTCGTGTTGTATTGTCCTTTTCATTTAGTTCCAGGAATACTTTTATTTCCTTTTCAATTTCTCTTTTGGCCCATTCATCATTCAGGAGCTTTAATCTTCATGTGTTCATGTGGTGATTAGGGCTTCTTCTGGTATTGATTGTAAGCTTTATTGCATTGTGGTCTGATCTAATGCATGGAATTATTTCAATCTTTGTGTATTTGTTGAGGTTTGTTTTGTGCCCCAGTATATGGTCAATTATGGAGTAGGTTCTATGGGGTGCTGAGTAGAAAGTATGTCCTTTGGTGCTTGGGTGGAATACTCGGTAGATTCTGTTAAGTCCATTTGATATATGGTATTGTTTGATTCAGATGTGTCTCTGTTAACTCTCTGCCCTGTTGACCTATCTAATGGAGACAGTCGGGTATTGAAGTCACCTACTATTAATGAGTTGGGGTTAATCTGAGTCTTAAAGTCCTGTAGTATTGTTTTTATGAAGTTGGGTGCACCAGAGTTTGGTGAATATATGTTCATGATTGTAATAGCTTCTTGATTCATTGTTCCTTTGATCAAAATGAAGTGGCCCTCTTTCTCTCTTATTATTAGTATTAGTTTAAAGTTTATTTTGTCACATATTAGAATTACTATGCCTGCTTTTTCCTTAGTGCCATTTGCTTGGTATATTTTTTCTATCCTTTCACTTTGAGATAGTGTCTGTCCTTGTGACATGAG